AGTTAACATAAATCAGATAAATGACGAAAAATTAGGTGTCTATTTACTTAGTAAGAAATAAAAACAATTTAAATGTAAATCCAGTCAAATTCTTTTAAACTTATGGGTCGAGCGTTGCCCAGTGGTTAGCGTGTGCGCAAGGCATCGGAGCTGTAATGTGTTGATTTAACGCGTTGCCGAACTTTCGACAACGCGTTGTAGCCTTGTGGAGTGTAGATGGTGGCCATTAACGGCTCTATATATATGATAGCTAACAGGGCCATGATATGTTGATTTAACGCGTTAGCTTAAATCAACATATCATGGCCACTTAAATCTGTATCTAACAGGGTAATAACGCGTTGTCAAAGTATTCAATCAACTTCACTTTAAATACTACAATTGTTCATTTAAGAAAAGCTCCACATTCGCCCGCAGCTGTCTCATTTTATGTGAAACTACTCTTACATTGTCAAATTTCTATGAATCTCGTAACTTGTTTGTTGAAATTGTAAGGAATCTAGAAAACATGTAAAAAGCTGGATTTAGCACGATAGTTATATTGGCTATTTGAACAATGCGTTGAATCAGTACGCTACGACCTCGTTGGTCAACTATCTACAGAACCATAACGCGTTTATCCAACACGAGGTCCATAATTTCGACAACGCGTTGAGTCAATAGGTTAAAATCCTATTGAATACCGATCAACAGAGTGATAACACTTTAATCCAACGCGTTGTCAATGGCTTATTCAGCAAAGCGTATAACCAATGTGTAATGACCCCGATGGCTTGCGTAAGCGTATCGGACTTTCGATCCGAGTTTCCGCAGTTCGCGCCCTGTTACCGGAAACAACAAACAAACAAATAAAAAATGCAAATCTGCACTATGAGTACGTTATGAGAGTTATGTACGTTATGTGAGTACGTTATGAGAGTTATGTACGTTATGTGGGTACGTTATGAGAGTTACGATTAAATCCCACAATTAGATTAGTCTTCAACTAACGACACAAAAATTGTTAATGAACTTATTAGAAAAACGAGTTTGAGAATATATTACAAATATCCACAAAAAGTAGATATTAGCACAGATTGACTTTAATTGGGTGAGGCGTGGCCCGATAATTAACATGCTGCGAATTAAGAGACCCAAGATTCAGACCTGGCATGACAATTTAGTTAGGGCGTTCGATCCACAATCTGCGGGTCGCAGTTCAAATCCCGTCACGGAACATTCTCGCCCTTTCAGCCGTGGGGCGTTATAATGTGATGATCAATCCTACTTTTTATTGGTAAAGATTATCTCAAGAGATGGTGGCGGGTGGTATTTGGCTAGCTGCCTTCCCTTTAGTCTATAACTTCAAAATTAGAGACGGCTAGCGCAGATAGTCCTCAAGTAGCATTGCGCGAAATTCAACAAATTTAAGGTTCACGTCCTTGCGATATATCTAAACGCTTTCCATGTCTAAATATTGTTACAGAATGATTTAATTCATAGCCGGACAAAGCAATTGTGAGAGCAGATTCTATTGACTGGTCAGTAGTTAAAATAAGGGGCGGTTATGCCTAAACTGTAGGGTCTTTTACTTTATCATTGTGCGCATAAAACACTGTTCACGTTGAAAATACTAAGAACATTTTATTTATAAAACCCAGAATTTTGTGCTTATGGCAAAGCTACTCAAGTTATCTGCCACTGTTCACACATTTGAACTGCAGATCAGAAGAAAGCCAGCCAGTTAGCAGCACCCTGTCACCCACTATCCACGCTAAGGGATTGACTCTCACTCTTATAACACACATACATCTTATAGAACAGGGAATATTTTGTGGTATGGCACCGATTCGAACCCTTTTCCCCAGTCCCGAAATCAAGAGCTCTACCACAGGACCGAACCGCACCCTGAACCTGGAATTAAAACGTTATAGTGAAATATTTTTTAATGTTTGATATTAATTACAGCCATATAAATATGTATACATACATGTGTGTGTATAGAGATATTAATTACAGATTTAAACTTTAATACATCCATAAATTTCATCCCCCCGGTGAGACAGCGGTAAGTCTACGGATTTACAGTGCTAAAATCTGGGGTTCGATTCCCTGTGGTAGACACAGCAGATAAGTCAATGTGGCTTTGGTCGAAAATAACCAAACCAATCCATAAATTCCATCGCCGGGAAGACCTGTTAATAATAAGAAACATATACAAGAGCGATGCCAGAGTCGGTAATTCATGAATAACTTTATTTGAAAATGCTTATACATTTAAAAGCCTACTACCGACTCTCAGTTACTGGAAGTCCAGCTCATCGTATATGTACAGGTGTTGCACATCAATAATTTTCCCAATGTTCTTATAAACCAAGTGTGGCAAACCTTGTGCCAATTTTGGATTTCGAATATTGAGTGAAGTGCCACTGACCCGAAAAAATTAAATTCATGCGTGTGCAGAAATACCAAAGAAAATTTATGTTATATGAAACTTATACCCGGAGATATTCCGGGTATAATCGTTTATATATAAACGCTCGAAGTTGTCAGTACGATTCTTTAACTTTGAAAGTTCATCCAAATAAAAATAAGATTTTCATTCTGCTAAATCCTAGACCAAACAGGATACAGATTAAGTTTTGTTTCATGATTGCAGATGTTCCCTACTTACGGAAGTCACTTAAAGATTCAGTTAATTTGTTACATATCACTTATTGTTCATACAGATTTAATAAAGTAACAAGAGTATGCACGATATACAGAAATATGCTCCCCAGTGGCACAGCGGTATGTCTGCGGACTTACAACGCTAGAAACCGGGTTCGATACCCGTGCTAGGCAGAGCACAGTTAGCCCATTGTACAGCTTTGTGCTTAATTACAAACAAACAGAAATATACTATTGATGAGTTGGGTTGAGAATGAAAAGTTAAACATACTTGAATTCTGTTTTGGACGTCTCTGTGAGCTGTGACAGAAGTCCCACAGCAAAAACCAAAATCAGGAGTAGCTTCCAAATCATGGTGAAGAATAACCACCATGAACCGCTTCGGCGGACATTCACTGGTGGAGATATGACCATATGAAGGACTCACGTCGTATTTATTACTACTCGGAGTCATTTAGGTAAATTGTATTCGACTGGAGAGACATCTATTTTTTCTGCGATTCTTGCTTAAATTAAGCTCTGATGATGATATTACATGGTCTGATCTATCTTGCTCACATGATTGGTTATATTTTTCGCAACAAGAAAAATTGATGAGTTTGCAAGCTTTACACGTTTATTCAATTGGTGATAGCCTTTGGTCACTCTCTCGACTTTAAAATGTCAGAAATATTGATTCATTCATTTTTAATCACTATTTAATTAACACACTGTATCACAATAATGGATCTCTGAGTATTCGGATTGCTTCTCAACATCTAACTAGATACTAGTTATAATAGGGGCGGATATGAGTTACTGATTATAAAATATCTTATGTAACATAAGATTCTTTCATAGTCATAGTTGTATAAATGTTATATTCGTTATATATAAAAACCACAATATATACACTGTTACATATGTATTTATTCCGCCTACCAAATTTTATTTATAATTTGTGAAACTTAATTAACATAAATTAATACAATCCATTATACAGTGATCAGCTATAAATGATTAGCAAAATTCTGTTATTTTTATAGCGACTTTTTATTTTTTAGATTGTGTAAAATGTTCCAACACTATACAAGAATGGCTTGAATTTCGCTCAAAGCTACTCGAGGGCTATTTGCGCTAACCTAATTTAGTGGTGATAGACTAGAGGGAAGGCAGCTAATAAACACCACCACTCCAAACTCTTGGATTACTTTTCTACCAAAGAATAATGGGATTGACCGACACTTTATAACTCTCCCACACCTGTAAGGAAGCGCATGTTCGATGACGGGGATTCGAACCCGTGACCCGCAGATTGCGAGTCGAGTGCCCTAACCACTAATGTAGTATAACGTAAGGTGGATCTCGGTATTTGATACTAAATATCAAACTGTTGGAATGGCCTTAAACTTCGTAAACATACCCCCCACACACTGGCTCAGCGGCAGGTCTGTAGGCTTATAACACTAAAAACCATAACGTAACGTGGATCTCGGTATTTGATACTAAATATCAAACTGTTGGAATGGCCTTAAACTTCGTAAACATACCCCCACACACTGGCTCAGCGGTAGGTCTGTAGGCTTATAACACTAAAAACCAGGTTTCGATATCCGTGGTGGGCACAACACGCATGGCCCATTATGTAGCTTTGTGCTTAACAACACACAAACAAATAATAATTTCTCTTATAACTGACAGGCACCTGATGAAAGTTTGGTATGGTAATTTTACTTGATAACATATTTCATTTAACAAGTCAAATCACTACTTGAAACTGACAAAATCTTACTGAAAGGTTAATTCGGTTACGGAAACCTGTTATGAGAAAAACAACACGTGGAAAACATCATTTTCATTTAATATTTCTAAATTTCTGTAGATTTAAAAGTATTGAATTGTGCGAAAATCGTACTTGTCAGTGCGTCCTGTGACAAACAGTTGATAATTTACCATCCATTATAGACTCTACTTTGAATTTCATAAAATATAAATTATGGAAATGTTTTAAAAATAAAATAGAAATTAAATTTTGATTAAAACCGATACACATAAACGATGTGTGTCACAACATTATCGATTTACACTTATCTGCTATAAGTAATGGGTTGAGAGCATAAATAGGTCAATACGCATTTCCATAGTAATACATAGAGTCATTTGCAGATGATAGAAACACTGCTAAATTGACTATCATTCTGTGAATGTCGGAATGATTTTATACCTATTGTCACGTAGTAGACCGGAATCTGATCCGTATATAAATGAAAATTGTACTGACTACACTTATAAAATGCTTCCAAAACATGCTCAGAGGCGGGAGGGGCGTGACACCTTTACTGTTTCGAAGGAGAAATACTAGCCCAGTGATGTTTGTAAATGATGCATACCCATTGGGGACAACGTACTACCACATTGAATTTAAAGCAACAATGGATTCTGAAACCACATCCCAAGCACAAGAGGACTAATGCTCTCTTCTGCAAAGTAAAAGCTCTGATTACGAAAGAGAATAAGCCAACCCAGAAAGCTAAAAGTTTAACAAATTTATTTGTACTTTTAATGAGATTAAGCAAGAATAGCTACACTATATGTGTCTTGGACAGACTACCCTACTCAGGTGAGTACCTTACGCCGAGCTCGAGCTTTGCAAATAGCAAATCAGCAGGAAACACCTTCTGGCAGTCTAACACAATACCAATGAATGAGTAGAGCTTCTCTGGTCCATTCATGATATTTGTGCCACAGTTGATGTTAATGATGCCTCTGGCCAGAATTACTCTCAGAGGAAGAACCAAAGCATACGGAGAAAGAGAAAGAACTGTTTACATTTGTGTTCAACATCAAACACTACTGACACTATCTGATAGTAGAAATGTCGTGCATCCCTGAAATAGCTTATAAACTTTAACAGTCTGCATATTGAATAAAAACATTTCAGGAATATGATTTTCTGTACTGCATCATTTTGGTCCACAACATGGAATTTCTACCAGATTGTCTAGCCACACAGTGAGACCTTGTTCATTCATTGAATGTCCTGACCCTGGACACCAACAGGGACTTGAAGCCGTTTGTGCCTTAACAACATTAATCCATAGGGTGACAAATTCCACTAGTGACTGAATACCCCCATTAATGTTTCAGGAAGTCCTCAAGAGTAACTGAAGATCATGAAGATATAATGAGCTCACCTTACCGTGCAGCAAAGTGAATCATGGTCAGTTTAGATTGAGGAACACGGTACGGATGCATGTGGCCTGTGGCACTTGTATGAGCACTTACGAGTACAGGAAGCTGTGTTGTACCATTATTATCAATCACTGAGATGTGGTTCTGAACCTGTTTTGCAGTCAGTGGCCACAAGAGCATTGAGACAGGAAGTTCTTTGCACTTTGAAAAATGCAAGGAATGGAGGCCACCAAGGTGTTATGTGTACTTGTGCTAAATGTGATGGTGGTTTTACTGGCTGCATTCAGGTCCAAATGTTAAGTGGTGGTTTCAACATTGTAGAGATGTGTTGCCCCAAAGAAAAACTGGCATAGAAAGTGGTAAGCTACAGTAGAGAATTGTTAGTTCTCCTTTACCAAGAACAGACTTTTATATAACTGGTATTTTACCGGAGATAGAATGAAGTAATTAATATGTGTTGTTCGTTATCTGTTACTTCAGAAAGTGGGCTGAAGCTTATTCATTGGTTGATACTTCAGCATAGCCCATGGATGATGTGTTGATGAATCATTGGCTAGTACCACTTGGTACACCTGAAGAAATTCACATATATCAGGGAGTTAATTTCAATAGCCAGCTACTTCCTGAGTTGTATAAATTCTAATTGTTGGCAGAGCAGGTCATTCAAATTATTAAGTAAATTTTGATAGTGTATGGTGTAAATGAGCAGAGATTCATTGGTTGTTTGCCAAACATTCTCACGTTTAGTTGGGAAATATTGCGTTCTGTGGATGTGTTGTATGGTCATCTATATGGATCCAATGTGCCACAGTGTCCACAAGAATATGTGCAATGGCTAAGGTACGCATTGTCTAGTGCACATGAGTTTGAACACCAATAGCTAAGGGAGGCCACCATATGGCAAAAGAGAGGTTATAATAAAAGAGTCAAGAAATGGAAGTTCTAGCATAGATACTGGATATGACTTTTGTATGTGACACTGGCTAATAAGCAGCTACAAACATACATTTCTGACTAGTCTCTTGTGTACTGGCTTGACCATGAATCAGACATTAAGACTGACGAGTCAACGGATAATGAGAGCATTATTTCTTACTGTCTTAGCTAGATTGATGAGGAAGAAGATGCTGAAAGTAGTTATCTGGCTGTACAAAATGAACCAGTTAAGAAGATACGCGGAGAAGAGGTGCTAGACAGCTCTTGTGGTTGGTCAAGACGCTAATGGCAGCATGCTGGTTGCTATGGTTGGGATTAACTGTTGGATTAGCAGCCGAAATAGTCACTGACTGTGAGATCAATGACTGAAAGGAAGTGGAATTTCTAGCTTACTTAGCTATTGGGTGATACTTCTTGATCAAATGTATGCACTAAATGTTATGACTTCACAAAGACAGTTTGTTGATCACAAGGTTAACAAATCTAAAAGGGCATTGCAACCACTCCTTTCTGAAGTATTAAGCAATATTTCATAGAGAGATATACATAGAATATCTGGTCATAGCCGCTCAACTATCACATAGTTAGGACGCATTTTAATCACAAGATTAGTGGAAGTGAAAGGACATTGTGCTCCCCATTTCTGAGCAATTAAGTAGATAGTCATGAAGAATTGTCCACAGGATATCTTGTTATAACTGTTCTATTACCACACATTTAAGGTATCTGGTGTTAGTAGATACGGTGCCTAATATATAATCAGTTTGTACATCTGAAGATTGTCACTAGGAGTTCGAAAACTCAGCTGAGATGACATTGTGACCATTACTTTCTGAGCTATTGATTGATTTTCCAGAGCAAAATGCTGTCAAACGTTTTGTGAGAATTTCTCACCCTATTCTGGCTGAGTAGTGATAGAAGTTCAGTAGATGAGACAGTATGAAGCTTTCTAGATTCACCTACAATGTGTATAAATATTCTATGTGTAGCTAGGGAGTTACGTTCTTTCTCAGAATAGAATAGGAATCAGATTTTCATGGATCTGAATGGAACAGTTTTTGTTTCTCTGGATTTGTCTATATTAATTTATTTTTTGTGATGCCAAATAAAGCGAATGGATCAATTGATGAATTGAGGTATAATGTTTTCCTAGTTTGGCAAATAGTGTTGACGGCCATTTACGACAGTAAATATACTCTGACTGTGTGTGATATTATGCTTAATCTAAGTAAGTCTTGGTGCTTATTGATATATAGGGTAGTTACAGCACGAATATTAATTCTAGTAAAGATAAT